TTTGTACAATTTAGATCACTCATTGCGCCACAATTAGCATTTTAATTTTAGCAATTATTTTCGAATTTTATCATTCACAAATACTTTGCTAGGGGAGTGTACATTTAACGCATTTTGAACCATTTTTTATCTGAGGAATTTGATGAACGAGCAGATGACGAAGCCTCACTTTGTTGGTCAGATCCTCTCCTATTCATAGTTTGGATAAGTGAATATCATTGATTGATTTCGTTTTGGAGCGTTGTGATGGTTCTTCTGATTGTTTCGAATTCATCGATAATTTTATTAAAATTATTAGTAGGTTTCTAGGTCCCAGTTAAATTATTAATCATAGAAATGATATTCTGTGCTTCGGTCACATAATTTGCATCACGGGAATTATTTTTGATAGTTAATTTCGGATCTATTTTTCTCATCACGCGCGGAGAATTCATTGTTGATCTTTTGCGTGACATAGTACAAAACGAAACATGCGATGGTAACCCGGTTTATTTTCGAGGAATATCATTGCGAGGAAGAAAAACAAAGCAGGAAGAATCATGAAAGGCATATTTTCCGAGATGTTATATTGATAAATTTATGCGAGAAAATCCGTTTATAAAATTAATCATGGGGAATGCACAGATATTTTATTATAAGCGAAGATACCTTAATTCGATTAAAGATAAGTAAAATAAGTTTGATGAGTTTATTTTTTTTTGCAAGACTTTTATTAATTGTTACGTGTTACTTTGTTATTTTTGATTTTGTAGAAGGGTGAACAGCAGAAAAAATCGCTTCTTTTATAAAGTAATGATTCCATGATCAATTATTTCATGTAAAAGTTGGAACCTGCTAGAAATAATGCATATTAAAATCTCAATACAAGAAAAACATCCAAATCATATATAAACTGTTTGGTACATGTTTATTGAATCTATGAACGTGGATGTATAGATTGTGTGGATGTATAGATGGAAATTTTGATACATCACTTGTATGATGCTCTTTTATTTCATCATAATAATTAATTAAACTGAAACGATATTCATTCTACCAATTCACTCGGAACAATACCCATTCTCCTTTCACCTTCATTTTTAGACTGTGATTATTAACTAAATGATTACGGCAATTGCTTTTATGGAAGATCAACTATTTATCACCTGTCTATAAATGACCGTGCACAATCTAGGGAAAGGGGGGTTACACGATAAGATCTTAAATTTAGCCATTGCACCAGGACTAATTCCTGGGCTCAATTGGCTAAATTCCTGGTTCAATTCATATTGCACCTACCATCCCTAGCATATTATTGTGAGAAGGTGAAGAATAAGAATACTGAATAATCACAAAAAATTGGACAAAAAAGTTTGAAGAATTTTGTATTAATTCAGGCTTTTTAGTTCCATTGACTTTTAATAATATTAAGCAACTTGAGCAACAAATTGTTGAATTTATTTCTTCAATGAAAAAAGGATGGAAGTGAATTATTAAATTAATAACATATCAATAATTCTGTGTTACATAATTTTTATAAAAAAATGGTCACCTATGAAAATATCGACTGTGAAAAGATCAGCCGTGAAAATATAAGCTGTGAAAATATCAATAAAAAAATTCATTAAGAGCCGTGTGATAACTATAAATAAAATATATACATATTACGTTACACGCGCGAAAATATTTATCTCCATTTTAAAATTTTATAGTTATAAATAGAATTTTATTAATCATTATTTCTTTTTATGAAGTCTATGATGTGTATTAATTTCACTACTTTTGGTATGTTTTACAAATCTCAAACAATAATATTTTTAATATTTTTAGGAAAATTAGGAAGAAAAAGAATTACTTCGTTTTTTTTTTATGATTTTCGGCATTTTCATTCCTTGTTTATTTGTTTAATATTTCGAATTACATACACTTTCTGCTGCCACGTTTCTCTATGATCGTACGGTATTTAGTACTAGACAGTTTTTAAGATTTTTTTTTTTGTTTCAAATTTTGATAGGAATTATGCATTGAATCTCATTTTGGAAGAACCAAAATTTTTACATAGTAGTACAATTAGAAAATTTCCAATAGTTCGGTAAATTAATTAATTTTAGCATATATATAATCCATAATTAAATTGTTTGCATATTTAATTTAAGTGTTTAAAGAAACAAATGATTCATAATATTGGACTTCGAATAATAATTGTATGCTATATTTATCGCGGAAAAGGAAAAGTTGCCCAATTTAAATTCTTTAATAATAATGTAAAGTCACACCACTTTCTTCCTTTAGAAATAAAACAATGTTAATCGTCTAAAATAAAAAACAAAGTTATACAAATTATAAAATTAAGTTGTTTTTTGAATATCATTAATTAAATTGGTATATTATAAAAATCTATTTTTATCTCTTAGAATTGTTATAAGTTGAATAATAAGATGATAATTGTTTTCTATAAAATATTGTAACATCAACAAATAAAGTTGAAGCGAAAGTATGGATTCATTATTTTTTTTTTTGTAAAATTAGAAAACTAGGGTCATATAATGTCTTGGTATTAACCAAGTTCATGGTTTGACGTGATAAAATATTTATTTATAGAAACGAATATTCGGGTTGTCATTTACAAAGAATATAATATCAATGTAATAAGAAACAATGTCATTCTTTCATAAATTTCACGCTTTCGTAGTGCGATTTCAAATTTTGACCTTCAATATTTAGTATTTTGAAACATGGCTTTCTTTTTATGTCCCAAATGCATAAAGAAAATCTTGACAACCATTGTAAAATTTTCTTATATATACGATGTGGCAAATATCGTCAAATTACGATTTCGAAAGACTTATATTCTAAAAATATTATTATAACATAGCCATGCCTAAAACTTCTGAAAAGAAAATTATCGTCCCCCGTAAACGTAGAAGCGTTCACTTATTTGAAACCCCTCAATTTAAAGAAGAATTTTTACGATCTATAAACAAACATGTCAAAAGGACTTACCCTGATGGGATGAGCGTAGAAACTACTTTACCTCTCGATCAACTTTTAGCACCTTGTAAGAAAACTCGTGGGAAAAAAGGAAGAATTACAAGACCACAAAATGCATTTATTTTATATCGTAAAGATACACAAGCGAAGATTTTTAAAAGTAATCCTAATACAAAATTAGACCAAGTATCTAGGATAGTGAGTGACCTTTGGAAAAATGAAACAAACCAAAGGAAAAATCATTATATTAAGTTATCAGATCTTTGTGGTCTTATACATCAAGATCTTTTTCCCAATTATAAGTTCAAACCTAAACAAAAAGAAGATGTAAACTTTGTAAATGAACAATCGGAATATCATGATTCATTCACAAACCTGGCTCATCAAAATCAAAATGGTTTGCTTTCTTCCTTCGACATCAATTCTCCAATTTCGCAAGATACCGAAGATGTCGGAGATGCCGAAGATATTTCGGCAACAACATTGGAATTAATGGAGCCAACACAGATTACTGCATTTAATGCAATCAATAATTGTCCGGAACAATTTTCTTTTACTACTGCAACTCATTCTATTTATGAAAATTCACATTTCAATGAAAATTTGTTGGAAAATGATTTTTTTCAATCACATTTCGATAAATTCGAAAAATTCGATATTACTAGCGCAACAAATAATTATGAAATTCAAAATGTAGAAAATTTTAATGTGGAATTCGACCCTTTACAATCTTTCGCTTTAGACGAAAATCCATTTATTTACACACAAAATGAAAAATTACCACAAGAATTTAATGATTATTCTAGTACTACAATATATTCTTCTTCCACACAAACTATTCCTACTTCTTATCCGCCACCAATTATACCAATTACGTCGACTTTTATCAATAATGATGTCGTTACTAATAATGCTTCGTCATTTTTGTATAACGATTATACAATTGAAAATATTGAACCAGAATTCCTCAATGAAGATTATATGCAATTATTATACAATTACGATAATTAATTAACATATCAACTAATTGTTAGAAACCAAAATTTTTTTTTCTTTAGAATTTTTTTAAAAAAAATTCTCTTTATTAGATTGTAATATATAAAGTAATGCTAATCTTAACTGGTTAAGTGAAGCTTTTTCTTGTTTTTATCATAGTATCATTTAGATTATTATTATTATTTGTGATCGATATTATGATTTAAGTAAATAAAAAAAAATAGAGATTTACGCGAACGTGCCAAAAGAACTTCTTTAAATAAAGAATTATGTGTAAATGCACGAATTAAATAAATTAAATAAAAATCTTGAAATTAAATAATTATTTGCATTATTTAGGTAATTTGAATTCTTGATGCAATTAATACGGTTAATACAGTATATATGCAATATATTTTAGAGTGTCTCATTGTTACCAAAATTATGGATCTAAAGATTACTAATATGAATAATATGATATTGAATTAATCAAAATGGAAAATCAATTTTTTATTCTTCAAATTACTAGATTAGTAAATTTTATAATTGTAAGTCTGAGAATAGTTCTTTAGATTAAACAAAAGAATATTTAAATCTAAATTTATCAACAGAAAGAGCTATTATTTTCTTGAAATTAGTAATTATACCGAAAATTTTTTAACTGGTTGAATTCTTTTAAGAATTTAATTAATGCACTATAAAGAAGACAAAACAAGAATAGAAGGAGGATCATCAATTGGTGCAATGGTTATAAAGTTAAAAACAGTACCATAGTTTAAAACAATAAAATTGTCAAATATTATTTAAATATAAGTTTTCGAAAATGATTTTGACAAATGGGCAAGTGGAAATGATACAATAGATAAAATTATTCAGGATGCTCAACTAATAGATGCCTTACGATAGATTAAAGAGATAGCAAAAGGTGGTTTTCAACTATATATTGGGCCAAGTGCAATAATGGTAAAAAGTGGTTTGGAGAACTTGCAGCTGAGACAGGTTCAGCTTCAAGTTCAAAGTAGAAGAAGATAATTCTGTACAACCCACAACAGGGTTGGGTGCAACCCATTTTTATTGATTATTATTGTTTAAAAAAATATTTTAATTACTATTATCTGGAAATAGTAATAAGAATTTGGGAAAGAATTTCCACTATAACTTGCTCTTAATTATGATAAAAAATAAACAGAATAATTAGAACAATTCGCGTTTAAGGAATTAAAGAATTGTTTAATTAAGATAGCTTAGCGTGAAATGAAAAATATATATATAAAAAGACTATTGTTATTATTGTTTTTGCACCCTAAGTGATTTAACTAAAATAAAGTTAACCAATTTCATCACTTTGCTTTATTTTTAAAAAAACTTTCAGCACTTTAAAAAACTATTATAATAATAAATGATTCATTTTTTCAATTCTATTAACTCGAGCATCCCACATTGCATAATTATTTTTGCCACCAATTGCTTGTGGCACATCAGGACATGGAGAAAGTCCTGTAACTGCCTCGTAAGCTATATGAATTAATAAACAGCACTCAGCAGCTTTTATATGTCTTCATATAAAACTTAGGATTTTCGAATTAATTCTAAGGTTTCCTTCCCCACTTGGGTTTTCTGATTGCAAAATAAATTGCTTCCATTATCATCTAAATAATATAATATATCACAGATTGAATGTGAGCTTTGGTTAATTATACAGTGGTTTTGAGATGTCCCAATTTTTTAAAGTAAAGAAATTTATATAAAAAAATAAACTGCATTTTTAAAAAAATTTTCAATTCCAAGAAATCTTCATCTTTTTTTTTATTAACCTTTTTATATCATTTTATGTTTATCTTATCTTTGCCATTGTACATTTTCCTACCTATAATTTATTCAGCCAAATATCCATCTTAAGTTTACCCATGAGTTCGTGGGTGTTGAAATAATAATTTCTATTCTAATATTCCATTTTCCATTTATTAAGATCATTTTTTTGAGTTGCATAAGTAAAAAAAAAAAAAAAAAAAAAAAAAAAAAAAAGATTTTATGCAATTTAACTTTTCTGTACGTTAATGCACTTACGCCATCAATTACTACATATAAACATATTCCATATAGATCGTCACAAAAACTGAGTTCGTGAATTTGTAATCACATTAAAATATATTTTATTAAAAGAAACCAAACTTTATTAAACAATTTATCTTTATTTTTATTTATCTAAACTATTCATATCAATACTTTTTCTTTATGTCTAAAACATTCTTTGGCAATAATGTGAACAATGGCAAGTGACGCATTTTAAAATGTTAGGTTACACAAATCCCTACAACCATTAATATACAGTATTCAATAAACCTTTGTTTATTAATATTAATTAAACGTTTCATCTAAAACAAAAAAAAATAACAACAAATAGAATAAAATAACCACATTGAGCATTAGAAGAAATAAATAATCTAAGTTTTCGCAGGTTAGATTGGTTAGGAATAATTGGTTTGATAGTTGATTGTTCGTTTATTTAGACAGGCAAAATGCCTTAATAAAGTCTTATAAAAAATATGAATGTATGTAAAACATTGTGCTGAACACTTTTACTTAGATATCAGAAGGTAGTTAATATAATAAAGTTCCGAGTTTTTTTTTTTTTTTTTTTATTATCTTTATAAATTTTGATCCACAATCAAAGATCTGATTGGATTCCAAAAAATGCGCCATAAGAGAAAACCAACAAATTCTGACACGAAAAAATTTATTAGAAATGTTTCTTCAGACTTCAATCAAGTTTTTTCTCATCATCCTTAATTAGTATTAATTATTAAATAATAAATTACAAAATTGGAAAATAAATAAATATTTAATCTGTTTTCACTTTTTAACTTGCATATACTGAACATGTTTGATATGTATACTGTAGTCTCAGTTCTGAATCTATTTTCTTTGTTTATTTTTCTTTTTTTCTTGGTATTATTAGGAAGAAGAGACGAAAAAAGACATAGAAATGAAAATAAGAAAAAAAAAAAGAACTTTTTAATTAATCTTACACAAGAATCTATAATTCTAGTAATGAAATAAACTATACTTATTTCATTTAATATTCACTAATTTATGCAGTTAATGCACCATTTCACAACATTTAATGTGTGTCAAAATCAAATAAGAATTAAAAATTCTTTTTTAATTTTTAATTTTTAATCTTTAATTTTTTAAAATTATTTATAAAGAAAACTTCATTATTTATCAATTAAATTTTCTTATTAAAGAATGCCTTCCAGAAAACAAGTATCAACTGAATCTACTTCTATACCCACTGAATTATCTCCTCAATCTTCTTCTGCCGAATCATCATCTCAAATTCTTAATAGTCTTAATGGAACTTCAACTTCTTCAATTTATAAATCCTCCGAAAAATCATCATTAAATGTTGAAGAAGAAAAAATTGATCTTGTTTTTTCTAAAAAACATACATTTCCTCTTATCCGTTCTCGAATAAATTATGAAAAATTGGCAAAATTTATTGAAGAAACTTTAAGATATATAAATACTTTTAATTATCCTTATGAAATGTTTTATCGTGATTTAAATGGTAAAGAACAAGTTTTAAATTCACGAATTGATGATACTATGAAAGAATTAAAAGAGATTTGTGCAACTGATCGAGGTAAAGATGTAAAAGCTGTTTATATTTTAGCCGATAAGAAGGTCAGTATAATAAATTATTTTCCTTATTTTTACTTTTATTTATATTTAAATAATGTTTACTTATTTTAACTCATAAATCATTTAAATAATTGATTACTATATTATATGCTACTATTATAATTATATGTTTATTTATATTATGTCCATTAAATATGTATATATATATATATATGTGTGTGTGTTATTAGGTTGGAATCCAAACATTCCTCACTTACAATCTTGATTTCCTAGTATTCCTAATATTTCTTACAAATTTATTATGGTTTATTTTCGTTGGTTCAGATGAATCGAAAGTATCATTATATGTTTTGGGTTTAGGATTACTTTTTAGGATGTATTACAAATATTTGAAAGAATGAAATGTTTAATATTAATAATTTAGTTATTATTGTTTGGATATTTGTATATAGTTATTTATTTCTATAATTCATTTTTGATTTTATTATAATAAAATTAAACTAAAGTAAAAATCAGAGTAAATATTGGGCACAGTACGAAACAATCCCCATGACTCTACGGAAGGAAGTCACCTGATAATATAAAAAAAAAATAAAATGTACACCCATTTAAAAGCAACTAAATAAAGAAATAATTAAAAATCAAAATAAGTTAATAAAATTAATTGTAAAATAAATACACATATATAAGTATAATACTTAAACTTCAAGTTCTTTTTCAAATTTGTGTCATTCTTGGATTTTGGAAGATTTGAGAACATAGATTTATAAGACAAAATAATTTGATTAATATATTAGAACTTTATATATTTATTTATATAGTTAATTATTAATTTTGTGAAATATAGAAATACGAATATGTATAAATACTTTCAAAATTCCAACTTTATAAATTGTATAGCAGTACAAATGTCATTAAATACAAAAATAGGTTTGGTAAAAAATTTTGAATGCCTGAATAAATTAAGGTTATCAAAAATTAACCTTTGATGTGGTGATGCCATTTAATCTTTAGTATCTATTTAAATTTTATAAAATAACAATTGTCTACATAAATTTTAAGCGATTATCTAATATGTTTAAATTTCAATTTTTATTAGCAGAATCACTGTCAGAAGGTGGTGGTGATTTATTAAAAAATTACTTATTTTAATTATAGCAGTTAACATTATTTTGAAATATTTTCTCCTAATTATCAAATTCAAAATCAATTTAGGCGACGAGCACAATATATCTTATGAACGTTGATAAAATATAAATATTGTATATTTCAATAAATAGTAATATAAAAAAGCCAATAACATTATATCAAATATTTATTAATAAAAATAAAAAAAAATAAAATTTAAATTTAAAACTAAGTTAATTGCATACAAATGTGATAAAGAATTCTTACTCTATACCTAGTCCTAGTTCCTAGTTTCAATATTAAAAGCTAACAAAATTCACAAAAATTTGATAAAAAATATTTATATAAGAATCGAACATACACGTTTCAAATTGGTGTAGAAGCAACAAATGATAAAAATTAAAATAAATTATACACATAATTAAAACTTACCAATACAGTAAGAAGTAGATTTAGTTAATTCTTCAAGTTCTTTTTCAAAATTAATTTCATTCTTAGGTTTTGGAAGACCTGAATAATTAAGAAGTTGACTGGTATAGATTGCTTGTGGATGTGTTTGATAATTAAGTGAAGTTGTAATCGTTAAATTTGGTGATAATTTTAGTCCCCAGTTTGCTTCAGCTTCTTTAATTTGAATTGAAATTTCATTATTGTTTATTACATAATCACAATAGTATCCCCACAATTCATGAAATAATTCATCAAAAGTGGGTCGATGAGTGGTTTGGGAATCCCAACATTTCATTATCATTTTGGTAAGTAATTTTGGCGTGTGAAATGGAATTTTGGGACGTAACCCTTCACATATTTTTACGGCTAAAATTACATCATGTGGTACATCAGGATATGGTGTAAGTCCTGTAACGACCTCGTAAGCTATAAAGGCGAATGAATATACATCCGCAGCTTTTGTATATTCTTCACCATATAATACTTCTGGAGCTATATATGGCAATACTCCAAAAATATTTCTTTTCTTCTCGGGATTTTCCTCATTTTTCCCAAGTAGACTACTACTTAATCCAAAATCCGAAACTCGAATTCCTTTTTTTTTTTTTGAGTTATCTAATATGATATTTCCGGGGTGTAAATCTTTATGAACTATATTTAATTTATGAATTTTTTCGAAATCATATGCTATTTCAACTAAATAATTTAATTTTTTTTTCCAATTAATATCATTATAATTATTTTTTAAATATTCTCGAAGATTTCCATTTCTTGCATATTCTAAAACCATCATATATTTGTGGGTTTCTGGATCTTGGGTAATTCCGTAGATCCGGATTGTATTGGTATATTGAAACACCTTTAGGTAAACTTTCACCTAAATAATTTTTAATTATAATCAATATATTTAAATATTTAACATATTAATTTTTTTTTTTTTTTAAAAAACAAAAAATACTTTACCTCGTTTAAAAAATTTTCATTATTTGCAAAATTATTGAACATCTTTAATGCCACTTCGCAGTGACCATTTCTTTTCCATTGTTTATTCTCATTGTTCCAATATATAATCGGACCATCAATCCAATTTGCCCAATATATCGTGGAAAAACCACCTCTTGCTATCTCTTTAATATCTTTAAATTTATCATAAGGTATCCATTCAATTATTTTACCTCTTTGCTTCGCATTTAACAAAGCATCTTGAATAAATTTATCTATTGTATCATTTTCGCTTGTCCATTTATCAAAACCATTTTTAAATCGTTTTGAGTCGCACCGTTTACACCAACGGTCGATTTCCTGATGGCACTCTTCGTAGAATGTCATTTAAAATTAAAAAAAAAAAAAAATTGAATTTAGGTTTGCATATATAGACGTTTTAGTGCGCCATAAATTATATACTTTATAGTTAATTTATTTTTAGTCTATATATAAACAAATCATATATATGTATATATTGGTAAAAAAAATATAATATTAAGGGCGAATAGATAAAAATATATAATGGTAAAAAAATTGATAAAAAAACAACATTCAGGACAACAAAAGAAATTATAAATCCGGAAAATCTAGTTTTTTCATTACAAAACAGTATAAATATGTACAGCACTAAATTGACTGCGCATTGATTTTACAACGGTTGTACGAAATCACATGTTTAATAATTAATACGTTCACCGTTATTTAAAATAATAAGTTCACATCGTTCCTTCATTGAATTTACTAAATTGATTAAAACATCTTGCGGGATATTTTCCTACTCCTCTGCCATAAAACGTTCCAATTCACCCAGGTCTTTTGGCATCCGTTTTTCTACGTTTTTTTTAACAATACCCCGTAAATTTTCTATGGGGTTGATATCGGGACTGTTGGATGGCCAATCAATGACTTGAGGGAAATTCTCTTGAATGAATTGCTTGGCAACACGGCTGGATCGTTATCCTGTTGAAATCGCCAGTTATTGCCAAGCATTTGATAAACCTCTGGAGAGTGTCTTCTAAGAATCTCAACGTAAAAGGGGCCATCCATAATTTTCTTTACCGTGATAGCAAAACCCACCCCAAGCGAAAATTTTTGATCGGTTCTTAGGCATATACCATTGTCGTATAGTGTTCCTGAACAACTGAAAAGCTGTCTCGTCGGTAAATAGCGTCTTTTTCCAATCATAATTGAGATGTTTCTGCGCCCATTCCACGCGCTTTGTTTTATGCGTACTTGTGAGTAGCAAGTGGTAAACTATTTTTATAACCCATACGGTTTAAATGCCTTAGGACCGTCATATGAGAGACCTCAATATTGATTTTTGATAATTTTGTAGCTAACGAGCGTGTTGATAGGGCAGAATTTCTTCGTAAATAATGACCAACGACCTTGGAGACTTCTGGTTTGATTCTTTGGGACGACCGCTTCGTTTTTTGTGCGCAACACTTCCAGATCTTTTTAACTTGGCTATGTTATAATAAACTGTTCGTATCGGAATATTAGTTCGGCGGTGTATTTCATGAGCATTACGTACTCCCTCGTAGCACAAATGTTGTATGGAGCAAGTGCGTACATTTATTTTTCTCCTTCGTTTTCATTATTTGGAAAAATAAAAACACAAGTAACACAAAGGTAGATCAGTGAGTATCTAAGTTACACCAATTTATTCGGCATGATTATCAGTGCAAGGACTTATGTTACACACTGTATATCTTTTATATTTCCTCAATTTCCTCAATTGATTATCTTTATATTTGTTTGTTATTCATGACTTCAGAAAATACAGAAAATACCCAATTTGTATTATCCAGTCAACAAATTCCTTTAACTAATTCACCAAAACCTCTATTTAGTGAGTTATGTCGATTCTTAGAGATTGTGACAAAAGAAAAGGGGGATGTTAAAAAACATAAATTAGAAAGTTTTTTTAAAGTGAGCTATTAATTAATTAATTACGAATTAATTAATGATTAATTATTAATTATTGAGATAAATTATTTATTATTTATCATTATCAATATTAATTAATTATTATCATTACATTATTAATCATTAATACATTATTATTATAATAAAAAAATAAATATAATAAAGAATTGGAGAAGAAGATATGGAAATGATGTTTACCCAATTATGCGATTAATACTTCCCCATGTAAACAATTAATTTATTTCTTATGATTCTAATAATAATAATAATTATTATTTAATAATAATAGTTAATTAATTAATTAATTTAGTTGGATAAGGAAAGAACAAATTATGGTATGAAAGAAAGTGTACTTGCCAAGACGTACATAAACGTTTTGGGATTATCAAAAGATTCAGTTAATTCCGAAAGATTAATTCATTGGAAAATGCCTGGTAGTCATAAATATGTGAGCAAAAAGAAAAAACAATACAATAATAATAATAATAATAATAATAATGATTTTGATTTAAATAAACAATTATAACAATTCAATTATTATTAATATTTTTAATGATTTTATATTTTATTATTTATTATTATTTGTTAAAGAAAACAGCTGGTGATTTTGCAACGGTGGCATTTGAAGTGATAGCACCTCGATCCACAGTAACTGGACATGGAAAAATGTCATTAGAAGATTTAAATAATCGATTAGATATTTTGAATGCTGCTAGTGGACAGTATGTGTTATATTATTTATTATATATATATATATTTATATTTATTTATTTATTATATATATATATATCTTTATTATATATTACTTATTATTAATTGATAAAATATTATAATTTTTTAAAAGACAAGAATATAGAAATGTGATTCGTCATTTCTTTACTAATTATACTCCTATAGAACAAAAGTGGATCATTCGAATTATTTTGAAAGGTAAAAACATTTCATTGTATGAGAGAGAGAGATATCTCTCTGGAGATTATTATAAATTATTACAAGTTAATATTATTTTGGATAATTTATTTACGTGTATTTTTTTTTTTTTATTTTGATTAGCACTTAACATAGGATTAAGTGAAAAAACAATTTTCCAAGTATTTCATCAAGATGCATCAGATTTATTTAATGTTTGTAGTGACTTGAGAAAAATTTGTAGTGATTTAAAAGATCCTCACACCAGATTGAAATTGACAGTAAGAATAATTTTAATTATATTCAATATTCAATTAATTATATTCAAATTTATGATTTAATTTATTTATAATAATTTGAATTTAATTAATTTAGGAAATCGAACTCTTTCATCCTTTCAAGCCAATGCTGGCGAAACCAATTGCAATTCAAAATATTATTAAATTGATGAATGGTGAAAAATTTTGGATAGAAGAAAAATTGGATGGAGAGAGAATGCAATTACATATGAAAAATGGTAGATTTGAATACTATTCAAGGTGATTTTTTATTTTTTTATTTTCTATTTTAAAATGATTTTAACAAAAAAGATTAATAAGAAATATATAATTAATAAAAGATGTTAATTTAGAAAAGCCACACAATACACGTATATGTATGGAGCAAATAAAAATGAAGGATCGTTGACAAGATATTTATTTGATGTATTTCATCCAAGAATAAACGAGTGAGTGTAAATTTTACATTATGTATATATATATATATTGGCATTATATTTACATTACCTAATGTATATATATATATAAATTAATAAAAATTAATATTTCCCAGAATTATTCTTGATGGAGAAATGGTAGCATATGATGAATCCTTAGACACATATCTTAATTTTGGTCATTTGAAAACTGTCGCTTTGGGTTAGTTTAGTTTAGTTAATTTAGTTTAGTGAATTAATTTAATTTAGTTTAGTTTAATTTGGTTAGTTAATTGGTTGGATTTATTGGTATCTACTCGTTCGCATCTATACTCGGCGTCCATGAAATATAAATATATTTAAATATTTATTTTAATATTATAGATCAATCTGTTAGTAGTAATAGAAGCGCATATCCTTTATGTATCTTTCTTATATAATAATAATAATTATTATTATTTGTCATCATCATTTCCATCATGATGATGATGATGATAATTATTATCATTATTATTATTACTCCTTAATTATCATTATTAATTAATTTATTAGTTGTGGTATTTGATGTCGTTTATATCAATGGTAAAACAATTCTCGATCAACCATTAGAAAAACGACATTCTTGGCTTAAATCTTTAATCACCGATAAACCGGGACATATTAAAGTACTTGAACATAAGTATGGAAATGAAACTAGTGATTTAACTAGTGCATTAGATGAGGCTATCTTATCAAGGTAATTAATACTTAATTATAAGATTGATTAAAGGTTAGATTGATTAATTCATTAATAAATTAATTATTGATAATAATAATAATAATATAATATAAAAATATTAGGCATGAAGGAATAATCATAAAGAAACCTACAAGTCGTTACGTATTAAATGAACGTGTTGATGAATGGATTAAAGTGAAACCAGATTATTTAGATGCACTTGGAGATAATTTAGATTTATTGATTATTGGTAAATATTAATTATTTAATTATTATTAATTTATTTATATTTATAATTATTATAATTATTATTAATTATTTCCCTATTTAGGTGCAGATTATGGAAAAGGAAAGCGAGCAAATACATTTGGTAGTTTTATGTGTGCATTAAGGGATAATAATTCACCTGATGACAAACCGAGGTATTTTATATATATATATATATAAATGAAAATAATTACATATAAATTGTATTTAGAATGAACATAAACGTTATATATTTTAGATTTTTGTCATTTTGTCGATTCGGAACAGGATTTTCAATGAAGGAAGGACAAGATATAAGGTAATATTTAATAATATCAATAATAATAACAGTGATATTTATAATATCAATAATAATACAGTGATATTAAATATTAATAATAAATATATATTATAGTAATTTAATTAAAGATTGGACAAATTTTGATCAAAATAAACCTCCAGAATGGGTTGTACTCGGTCGTGATAAACCACATGTTATAATTCATCCGGAAAAGTAAAAAAATTATATTTCTTATTTCTTATATTTTTTTTTTAATATATAATATGCATAATTGATGATATATAATAATTATATATTTTTATATTATAGATCTATAGTGGTTCAAGTTAAAGCAGCAGAAATAACACCCACAAGTAATTATTAATTATTTATTATTATGTATTATTAATTATTACTAAATAATTGTTTATTTATTAATAATAATTATCATTGTTATTTATTTATTATTAGATATGTTTGCAACAGGTTATACACTCCGATTTCCGAGATATGAAAGAATTCGTGAAGAGAAAGATTGGAAATCATCTACTACTTTTGAAGGTAATATTATATTCACTATTTATATTATATTATATTTATATTACATTTACTTTATATTTATTTTTAGATTTAATTTATACATATTTATTTTATACATATTTATTTTATAATTATTTTATACATATTTATTTATAATTATTTTACACATATTTATTTTACATTTGTTTTATATTTATTTTTATATTTTATTTTATATTTAATTTTATATTTAATTTTATATAATATTTAATAGAAATGATGAATTTAAGATCACAATCATCGAGTAAATCACAATCAAAAAAGGTCACCGAAGATAATATGGTGTAATTATTATAAATTATTATTGTTATTTTTATTATTATTATAAATTAATTATGATATTTTTGAACTAATAAAGAATATTCATTATAAATGTTATAAATGTTGTAGAACCTCTTCCAGATTAAATAAGAGAAAGGTCAAATCAAATCGAAGGGTGAGTTCTTCTTACTTATAGATATAATGGTATTTCTTTCTTTTTTTTTTTGCTACATTTACTGATATCTTTGCTGGAATTTTGAATATCATTTTATAGAGAGCTGGTTTACTAGAGACTTATGTTTCTCGTGATCTCGTGGTGGAAAGTAAATCTGAAATATTTAAAGGCATGGAATTTCGTGAGTATTTTTAAATATAATAATTATAAATAATTTATCACAATTAATAAATACTACTAAACATACTTAATATAAATATGATATACATACCCAATTTATATAGATATAATAATAATGAAATTTAAAGGACATTCTAAAGCAGATTTTGAACATATGATCAAAGAACATGGTGGAAAATATTTTCAACATCCTGATGCATCTCCAAATATTCGTATTATCGCTGATTCAATGAGTATTTATTATTATTATTATTATTATTATTATTATTATTATTATTATTATTATTATTATTATTATTATTATTATTATTATTATATTTATTATTTTATTTTTTATATGATAAATAATAAATGTTTATACAACGCAATAACAATACAATATAGACATCCGTGTTAATAATATAATAAAGACAGGAAAACATGATGTTGTCCATCCACAATGGATTTTAGATAGTGTGGAAAAAATTCAATCTATTCCTTTACAACCAAAGTATGTTGATTTGATTATAATAATTTGTTTAATTTGATGTGATGTGATGTGATTATAATAATTTATTTAATTTGATATTTAATAATAATTTGAATATTTAATAATAATTTGAATATTTAATAATAATTTAATAAAATTGAATATTTTGTTTATTTATTTAATTATTCAAGATATATGCTTTTTACTTCGGAACCCACCAAACAAGAATTTAGTGTAAGAATGGATGAATTTGGTGATAGTTTCACAACTCCCATTGAAGATATCGATTCTTTGAAAGAGGTGATAATTGATTTTTTACTTTTTTTACTTTAGACCGAGATATTACGTAGAGAGAGATATATTATAGTGTTATATTATAGATGTATTTTCTAATGTGCATTTATTTAAAAATATATTATTTTTTTTTTAGATATTTGATAGAATTCCAGTTGACAATAATATTAATAATAACAAGGGTGAAGATAAAAAACGCCGTCGTGAATTAAGTGATGAAATTGAATTCCGATATTTTGAAAATGAAGGTTTACCTCTTGGATTATTTCGACATTGTGTTATATATCTTGATTACCCATCTCAAAGAACTAAGAGGAGAAGAGAGAATGATGAAGAAATTACGGAAAGTGATGAAAATAGTGAAAATATTGAAAGTGATGAAAATGTGAATAATGTGGTGGAATGTGAAGAAGTAATTGATGAGTTATGGGCTTTGCGTGAAGGATGTTGTGATAAGTAAATATCTATATTTTATATCTATATTTCTTTTAATATTTTTATTAATAATATTTAATGTTTTTTGTTAGTTTACGACTTATAGAATACATATTACGATTTCATGGTGCACAAATTATAGATGATTATCATCATTCAAATAAAATTTCTCATGTTATCTTTGAAGATAATGATTTAAGTCGATTAAATGAAATCAAAGAATATTTTCGTGATAATTATAGATTTTCGCTTCAACCGAAATTTGTACGTTCGGCGTGGGTTATTAATAGTGAAAATATAGGTGCATTATTAGAAGAAGAACGTAAGTTTTTTTTTTTTTTTTGATTATTTATATTATATTATTATATTAATTATTATTATTATTATTATATTTATTATTTATTTATTTATTTATTTATTTATTTTATTATATTTATTATATTTATTTACAACGTTCTAGATTTTGATCCTTCTCACTTGATTAATGATTAATGATAAAGAATTTATTGCTTTTATTAAATATTGTTCACCCATACATTCAGGTAATTAAAATAAAAATAAAAATAAAATAAAATAACGAAAATAAAAATACCTAAAGAATTCAAATATATAAATAAATAATATTAATAAAATTATAAAATAATTCGTGTGTAATCAAATATTAATTATTTAAACTATTTAATTAAACATTTAATTAAATATTTAAAGGAGATTCAGAGAACCTTGTATCAAACATATTTTATTATTCTGACGGCAATTCCTATCAGTGAATAAATATAAGATTCTTTTCTTCATGTTCTCCATATCTTTTTTATATTTTTTCATTCGCCACGATATAAACGAACACTATAACAACGACTCATTTTATATATAAATGTAAAATAATAAATAATAAAAACCAACCTTTATTTATTTAAATATTCGAATAAATATTTTAACTGTATGATGACAATCGTTGACAAAAATAAAAATTATAATTAATAATATACAATAATAGTAATAATAATGGTATTATTCTTATTCTTATTTATTATAAACTGAGAAGAAAAAGAAGGAGTATTATTGTAAACCGAAGAGAGAGAGAAAGAATAAGAATAAGAGATCAGACAGCCAAGGAAGGAGTTTATTCCATCACTAGGTAATATTACCTTTCGGTGGAAACTGCGAATACGTTTAATTTTTTCATCATATCTCTTATTATTTCTATCTATAAACTCAATATCTATAATTTATAATCTAATTTTTTTTTACTTACTCGTTAAGTATCGTTAAGAACCGTTAAGAACCGTCATCGTTAAGTACGAGTTATAAGTAAACCATCAAGTAGGGTCGTGAACAATGAAGTAAACTAAGCAAAACTACAAAACTCTGAAGTTGAGAGAGAGAAAAAGTTGATAAAATAAATATATATTAGTAAAAAGTAAATAAATAATACTCGTCATTATCACTTTAAAAAAAATTTCTTTTTTTTGTAAATCAGATAAACTGGCTATAATATTTAAAAAAACATAATCTTTCAAATTTCACCACGGTCGATATGACGGGGAAAGAATATAAATTTCATCAAATTACGTATTACTAATAATAATTAAATTCTCATTTTGACATATTTTACCTTTATCATTTTTTTTTCCTTTGGAGATAAGTTTTGATGAAAAAAATTTTTAGATTTTAATCGTTACGCTACCTAAATATATCTAATCATGTTATCATGTTACATTGAAATTATGAGTCACATGTGCACATAATCAATCTCAATCTCAATGGCAAAGATTTCGTTTTTGATAGACACATGATATATATAGAATAACCACGTGTCCATCAAATAATTAGTTGCGCACGTTACTTAAAGTATCAAAAAAATAATCATAGGTATATCAAAAAATTAACCACAAATCTATCAAAATGGATACTTTTGCCCTTTTCATAATATAAAAGGTGTGCAAACAAGACCAGTCATATAATCAAAGAAAGCAAGTTGCTTATAGTAAAAATGTAGAATGTCTTTCCAAAATATATTACCATTATTCTACATGATAACGATTTGACTATTAAAATATGTAATGGATTACATCCAAAATTCCAAAATTAAATTAAATACAATGCAATGTAGAGATGCTCGAGTTATTCATCAATCCACTTGCATGGAAAGTTTAGTAATTTCTATTGAGGTTATAGTTGACCCCCCGTATAAGAACACCCTCTTATAATCACACAGTGCTTGATCCCAAGGACCATATTAAACTTCTCTCACTATAAGAACTCCAACACCATTTGTTGGTCTCGAGGGGTGTGACTGTACTGTATATCTGATATTAATGAAATTCAAATTAAAGAAATTGAAAAAAGGGGTTTTGGAAAATTGAATTATCAAACATATAAGTATTATTAGAAGTTACAAAATAATTTCATTATTTTTATCAAATTTATATGAATTCAATTAGCTTTAATATTATATAAAAATGTAAAATAAGAATTCATTATATTTCTACGAATTAAATTAACTTTTAGGATTTTTTTTTGATTGTTCGTGTCGCGGTTCATGAACATCGTCTAAGTAAATTTTGATAAATGTATTATTATTTATTGATGGTATGGATTCTAAATGGGCTCGCTATGATTTTTAAGTCGCCTATTATTATTTTTGTTATTGTATTATTGACTGTAATTATTGTTAAAAAAAAAAGAGTAAAAAATTTTGATAATACTTGTTATAGTAAGACTTGGGAAGGCATGTTCAAATTCTTCAAATGTAGTAAAATTATTTTTCCAAAAATAAAAAGTTCAAAGATATACAACAACGCAACGAAACGGTAACATTAATCCTTGTCCCGATGATACCAATAACTTTAAACAAAGGAAATAATTAATAAAAATTGATCGCTTCTCCACATATTTTCATTTTCTAACCTAAAAAAATGAGATCATCAAGTTATCTCCGATAATTATCTTTGTCATACATCTTTTTAATAAATATGTTCATTCTTTAAAAGGATAAAATTCATTTAAATTATAAAGTAATTTTAAAATGATAAGATTATTCGATTTTCTATTAATTATTTCTATTGTAAAGATCAACCTAAAATGATAAGATTATTCTAAAAATTAACATAATTTGATGTTTTTTTGAATAAGTTGAAACACTTTAATTAAATCAGAAAGAAATAATCGTTCAAAATCATTTGACAACGCAATAAAATAAATTAAAAAGAAATTAAATATGATAAGTTTCATAGGAGAAATTTGTTATAAATATTCCCCTCATCTCCGCTTTTCAAAAAATTCATTATCTATTGAGCTTGCTCAAAAAAAAATATAATCAAAAAAAAAAATTCATTAATTTTTGAGCTAGTCTCAACTAAAAATATTATTATCATTTATTAATTTTTGAGCCAGTCTCAACTAAAAATATTATTATCATTAAAAAAAACTTTCTTTCTTTTTCCTAATATTCAAAATGAAGTTATTCGCTGTTGTCTCGGTCGCCTTATCCCTTCTTTCCATTATAAACGCAGCTCCTGTTAACCTTACTAAAAGACGTTTTGGTCAAGAACATACTCCATTAGCTGATAAAACTTACCAAGACATGAAAGATGCTGTTGCAGGAACCACATTTGAACAAGTTACTGGTGATTTATCTGGTGAAGCTGTTAGAGCACTTTTAGCTAGAGCTCCAAAGTGTCAACAACAAGATGTTGCTGATAAATGTATCGATATTGCGCATCAGATAGGTAAATAATAATAAAATTATGAAAATTATGAAAATTTTAAAGTTATTTGATTATTATTATAAATGTATTTATTTTAACATTTTATTATATTTTTATTATATTTAAAAATTTATAGGTGAAGAAGTAAGTAAAGACAGAGAAGCTACACTAATTCCTGTTTGCCAAACATATCGAAAACTTGAACGAAACACACCTAACGAAGGTCAACCCTCTGAACTTTGTGATAGGTATATATTAAATTTCTCGTGAATTTTTCTCTTGTTTGAAATAAAGTAACTTAAGAAGTTTATAAATTTATATAGGCCACCAAGAAATAAAGAACTTGAAGGTTTAACTCAAGCACAAGATCCTACTAAACCAAACTCCCTACCAGCAGATCCACCAGCAGATCCACCAGCAACACCACCAGCAACACCACCAGCAGAAGACGTAGATGATGCAGTCCCAAATGATAATGAAGCATTTAATAACCCTGTCGGTGGTGTTCAAATGCCATTGATTACTAAATTGAGTCCTGGTGGTCCTGAAGGCAATTTTCAAGTTAAGGATTCTAAATTCCAACAGGAAGGTGCTGCTCATAATCGCCAATGTGATGTTCAAGTATGTTATCATTATTATTGTTATTATTATTATAAAAAATTCTCTTTGGTTTTTCTAATTTCTTTTCAATTTCTCTTTATAAAAGCACAATGCATGCTTTGATAAATTCAATGCTGGAGATCGTAGTTTCCAAGGTTCAGACTGTGATGAACAAAATAACGTTTGTAAAGCTGGACCTCCAGTCTTTGCCGCTTAAAATAAATTCTATTGGTTCAAAGCTTTGATAGCTTTTAAGTAATTTAGATTTTAAAAAGATAGATAATTATTTTTTGAAATATAGAGTTAATAATACAAAATATTGATGCTTTATTGTTTTGCATATTTCAATTTAATTTAATAAAGATTCAAATAATTGTTTAAAGTGCAATAAATTCGATATGTATAGATTTAAATAATTGTTTGAAATGCAATAAATTCGATAATAAATGTTCAAGATGAAAAATTCTCACAAGCAATTTATACTAGTCGACTTCTCAATTTTCAAATCTTCCAAAATCAAAGAATGATGCAAAATTTGTAAAAGAACTAGAACTTGAAGAAATATATGTATTTCATATTTTATTTTAATTTTATTTATTTCATTATTTTTATCAAAATTTAATATCTTCCAAGTAAATTGTTGATAAATTGTATTCTAGATAGATTCGCTATGATTTTAAATCACTCTATTATTTATTGTATTATTATTATTGTATTATTGATTGTAATCGATTGTAATTATTGTTAACATGTCATAGTAGGACTTGAGGAAGGCGCGTTTAAATTTCTCAATGACTTTTATGTAGTAGAAATTATTTTTCTATAATAAAAGTAGATCATCAAGGATAAAATATTTATTGTTCATTTAAAAATTGATAAGATTATTCTCTTTCAATTAATTAAAAGAAAATATGATAGTTTTTTTTATTGTAAAAATCAAACTAAAATTAAATCAAGAAAAGAAATGAATAAATGAAATAAATGAAAAAGAAAATTAAATATGATACGTTTTTCATAGAAATTTGTTATAAAATCTCAGCATTTCAAATAGTTCATTATCTATAAAAAAAAACTTTTCTCTCCTTTTTTTTTCCTAATATTCAATAATGAAGTTATTCACTAAAAGATGTTTTGGTCAAGAACATACTTCATTAGCTGATAAAATTATTAAGACATGAAATGCAGGAGCTGCATTTGAAAAAGTTTCTTGTAGATTGTCTGGTAAAGCTGTTAGAGCACTTTTAATTGATGCCCCAGCATGTGAACAACAAGATGTTGCTAATTGATACATATTGTGCATGCGATAGGTACGCAATAATAAAATTATGATCTATCCAGATTTTTCAGAAATCTATAAAGATAAAATAAAAAGAAACCCAGAACTTTATTATATTAACTACCTTCTGACCTCTAAGTGAAAGTGTTCAGCACAATATCTTATATATACATATCATTTTATAAGACTTTATTAAGCATGTTAAGGCACTTCGTCCATTTAAATAAATGAATAAATAACCGTCTAACCAATTGATTTACTCTCCAACCTGTGACGACTTATTTTATTTCTTCTTTCTAATGCTCAATATAGTTGTTTTATTCTATTTTTTATTAGTTTAGTGCTAAAAAAAAAATTTTAATTAATAGAAGTGTATTATATATATATTATCGCTCTTTGCAAAATTATGCGGTCATGTGAAAATTTGATAATATAATTGATAGGTATTCGAATACCAAATA